GGCTTCCTAAAATACTTGATCCATTATCTTTCCTGCTTGCGTGGTTCCTCTCTGTGCTCATGCTTGTGTGTGTCTTCAGAGGAAGGTGAGTATTTTTCTTTGAAAAACAGTCCTTTGCAGCATGATGAAACTTGAAATAATATGCGGATTTTCCTTGGAGAGTTTCTGATAAAATATTTCTCTTGAGGCTTTTCGAGTCAGGATTCTATCACGTTATGGGAAAGCATTTGAGTGATTTAGGGAGTGGGAACAGTTAAATAATGAACAAAACATTACTCTTGGATCATCGTTTGTGCGTGTTCCTGTTGCCATGAGGGGCTCAGATTGAGACTGGGCTTCCTCGAGTCAACCCAGCTCTGCCTTTTGGAGTTGAGAGCATCTTACAGATAAGCAATGTTAAACTGGTGGATTCCTCTGATTGCACATTAGAGCTACGAAAAGCCTGTTTCAGGTTGGATTAAGAGTCAGGTTGGCTGTCAGCAAGCAAAAATGCTTTTCACTCATCCAGCTGAAGACTGGAGTAAAATACTCCATGGTATGGTGTCAGGATCTCCAAAAAGTTCCGGGGGTGCTCCTGAGCTGCCTGCGCAGCCTTCCCCCCCATCCTTGGCCCCTGTTTTTGCTGGCTGCTGTTGGAGTGTCTCTTCAGTATGGCAGGCAAGGAGGCCTGTGTAGTGACGAATTCCTAAAGCACTAGTAGGGCACCTGCTGTTGCAGTTGTGTGGCTTGGGGGTATGGTGGGTAGTTGGGCTTGTCTGATCAGTAAGGTTTGGTCTGAAAAACTGCCACTGGATTTACGGAGGCTGTGGTATTTGCTGCGTAATGCTAACAGATAATCCCTGTATTTGAAAGAATGCTTTTCTTTGACTTAATTTATTCAAGTGGACACTCAAACAAAATTAAAAAGGAACCAGAAAACCCAAAACCTCTAAATCAAACCTGTTCTAAAATACTTGTCTCAAAAAGATATAAACCCCCGCTATGATCAGAAGTGCTCGTTCTCTGTCCATGCACTGCAGTAATACTCTGAAACAGAACTACTCCGGCTTTAGTTCATAACCAATCTATGAATGCGCCAAAAACGTGATAAATGCTAATCAAATGTAAAATAATGAATCAGCTGTGGCATTTTATTATGGAAATTAAACATCATGCAAACCCTTGCCTAACGAAAAGAAATTGTCAGGAAAAATACTAATTTTCATGTGATAATTAAGTTTTCTTTGCTTTTCATTTCCATGTCTAATAACGTTTCAGTTTCACTTTTTATAACAGGCATTTGTTATGAAAACCTTTTCAAGCAGGATTTAATTTATGGAATTGAAAAGGATCGTCACTCCCACTTAATTGCAGGAAAATAGAACTGGATGTAGGGAATAGTTGTGCTATTTTAAGGGTCAGAAAGATCTAAAAAGTTGAAAAAATAACTTGCCAATGCACTTTACCACATCCCTTCTAAGCAAGTATGCTGCTCTTTAATGGTATGATGCCAATTTTCCTTGCCAGTTCTGTAAGAGTGTGAGTGCCGGCGGATTGTACCTGTCATGAAATGCTCCTACAACTTGTCATCTCGGGGAGCACCTCAGTGGACTGGTAGGCCTATTCTAGGGACGTAGTTCTAAGTGTGAAATATTATTAGTGGTTTCATTAATAACAAAACCTTAGCTTGCTGAGTGGGCCTGGTGGATTTGCCTTCAGAGTGTTTAATTTGTTGACCTCTTGTGGATGTGTGTTGAATTCAAAGGGCTCTCTGTAGCATACTGTGTCTGGTGTCACATGCTCACTAGTATGTGGCGTACCCTGTTTGTAAACTTCTGCGCTCCGTCTTACGAGCAACAAATGTCTCCTGCGTTTCCGCTTCCATAATCACTCTTCTCAATTTCCATCTCATCTGCATTCCCAACCAGCTATGATCGCCATTATTTTTTGCTGCTGTTTGGTTATATTTCTTTTCCTGCAGTGGTTTTCACCTCTGTTATATTTGTAAGCGACAATAATAGTATCGTTTTGCCAGCCTAGGTATGGGGTAAGTTCTTTCCATTGACACCTGGCAGACAGCATCTCTGTTCTTTGTGCAGTTTCTTTATGCCAGTTCAGTGTGAGTTTACTGTTCTTGAAAGAATGACAGTATGCAAAAGATAGTGTGGCCAGCAGGAGCAGAGGGGTGATCATGCCCCTGTACTCAGCACTGGTGAGGCCGCTCCTCGAGTACTGTGTTCAGTTTTGGGCCTCTCAGTACAAGAAGGACATTGAGGTGCTGGAGTGTGTCCAGAGAAGAGCAACGAGGCTGGTGAGGGGTCTGGAGAACAAGTCCTATGAGGAGCGGCTGAGGGAACTGGGGCTGTTTAGTCTGGAGGAGGCTGAGGGGGGACCTTATTGCTCTCTACAGCTACCTGAGAGGAGGTTGTAGTGAGGTGGGTGTTGATCTCTTCTCCCAAGCAACTAGCAAAAGGACGAGAGGAAATGGCCTCAAGATGTATCAGGGGAGGTTTAGATTGGATATTAGGAAAAATGTCTTTACTGAAAGAGTGGTCAGGCGTTGGAACAGGCTGCCCAGGGAGATGATGTAGTCTCCATCCCTGGAGGTGTTCAAAAGATGTGTAGATGTGGCCCTCTGGGACATGGTTTAGAAGGCATGGTGGTGTTGGGTTGATGGTTGGACTTGATGATCTTAGAGGTCTTTTCCAACCTTAATGATTCTGTGATTTTGTGAAATAGTCTAAGGTGGGGTCTTATGGAGTAGTACTGAATGATGACCCATATTCTCTCTGATCACTTCTGTTGTGATTATCTTTGTTTTTCCATCCTAGAGTGACATTTGCCCATTTCACGGTTGTATCATAACCACCTTGCGGTCAGTTGCTGTGCACAGAATTTTCTCCTCGTTTCCAACTGTTAAAACTCCTAGCTGCATGCAGAAGCTTTTGTTAGTCTCCAAGTGTATGACCTGCCATTTCTGTTTCACTGGGGTTTGGGGTTTGTTTTTCTGTATCTCTTATTCATCAAACCTATGTGATCTTTTCTATAGGTTAGTCCAATTCTCCTGTCTTGGCAGGGTTTCTCCACTTTGAGCTGTCAGCCGACAGATTTCATCGATGTATCTTTACCTTTTGTGTAAGTGTTACTCATTAAAATACTAGGTCAGACTGGTGTCAGTTTGTGCTTGACATGACAATCCCCAGTAGCAACCTCTGTCTCAGCTTGACTTTATTCCTTGACACTGCTAATATGCAGACGTTTTGAGTGCGCTTCTTGGGAATATTCCAGAGTACTTAATGTTTTATCACTTTCAGTGTACAGAAGCACTGCCATGTGTAGGATGGAGTACACAGTTTTAATAATATTATTTCATTATCAAATAAATGTATAGTATCAAAAATAAGGGTATGCAGTGTAAGAGTATCCATACAATTCTTTTAAATAGCCCTACTAGTCAGACAAAATACTTGCACAGTTACACCTGTAATACTGATTAACGTGAGCAGTGTCCTGACAGGCTGACGATACTGTGTTCCCTCAAGCAGGTGGGTTAAGGATCTCCTGAATTTGGCCAGCGAAGCAGGGCTAAAAGCATGCGTGGCCTGTAATTTTGAAAAAAGCTGAGCACGCTTTGATATCGCCACAAGTGGCAGTGTTTGGCCATTTCTGATTAAACCACCACTGGCATCCAAATTACTTAGGATTGAGTTTTCATACCAGAAGACCTTGAGCTAACGGTTCTTTTCCTGACCTTTCCTTTCCTGGCAGTCTCTCTTCAGCTGGAAATGTTGTGGACTGTTACTTTTGACGCAACATGAGTGGTGTTTTCTGGTTTGTCATTATCTTTTGTTTAGGTGTCTTGACCTGCTCTGATTCAGCGTAAGTCTCAAAGCCAGTACGCTCTCACAGAATGTAATCCCTCAACTCAGAGCATTTTGTGACAGTTTTCTTTAGCTCTTTCTTCCGTCAGCAAGGTATCTTAGAGGAATGGTTTTTCCTTAGTCAAGATATTTCTAAAACTTGGGGACTTAAATTCCTCACTCTCTCAAACGTTTGGTCTTGCTGTTCCCTTTCTGGTTCCCTTAAGCACAAACAGGAGATTTAATTCCTCATGTATTGGTTCTTCAGTCGTCCTTCTTCCTCTGGACATCATGACTGCGAATGATCTAATAACGCATTCACGCTGCGCACGTTGCTTTCTCTGGAGGCTTCAGCTGACACTGGTGGGAGAAGCACGAATGCAAACAGAGGGAGGTCATCCAGGCTCTCTGAGTGGTTTGCAGTTTGTTGGAATAGATGGAAATTGAAAAGAGGTAGAGAAAGCCACCAGCTGAGGACTGTAGTATGGCTTACTAGCAGATCTGCTAGAGCTCTGGTTTCTTTAGCCTATCCAGGAGCCATATAGCATTTCATGTGATCGAGTCTTCGGTTCACTTTTTTTTTTAACCTCTTTCTATCATGCCTCTGGGTAGCTAGTACAGTTTGGTAGTGCCTGATTATATAATACCAGAAAGTTTTTGGCAGTTCATAAAACCAGATTTCCCTTGTAGTATTACATTTCGTATCGTCTTTGAACATGACATTTTTGACGGTGTAGAGGAGAGTAAGTTGGAAATGGTTCTTTGCTACTTTCTTCTTTGTCACATTATTTTTCTGTCCTTTTTCACTGCGATTCCTCTGTTTCGTGCTTGATAAAGTTACTTGTGTTTTCTGAAATTCTTAAGCTCTGAGGAAGGGCAGGTGGAGCTTTGGTGTGGTGCCATAGCTGGATAGAATGAGGGAAAATGAAGGAAGCCACTACTGAAAAAACCTGATGGTGTAGGCCATCATCTCTTTAAGCACTGGACAGTTTGTTGGCCACGTTGCTCTTGTGTACTGTAGAAAATGAACACTTGGAGACAAAGCTGTTGTATCCCCACAGGTGCTTTGTATTCAGGTCTGTCAACAAGGCATGACCACACAGTGAGTGGTTGCTGGTTGCATTTAGAGTACTCACATGTAACTTTGTCTTATTTAAACAGATGATCTGTCACAGCTTGTCCACTATACCTTCTCAAAGTCAGTGTTTTGACATTCTCCAGACTGGCATCTGTAAATATCTGGTAAGTACCATTTTGTCTCCTAGGTTAACTTCCTTGTGATAGATTTTTGTAACAGTCGCGTTAACCCTCAAAATCCACTTACTCCGTGTATTTCATGTATAATTTCAACATTTGCAAAAATTTTCAACAAGATTAGCAGAATTTAAGAAAAAAATCTAATAACTGTTGGTATCCAAACTTACATGATTATTTTTGTCTGATTTGTGAATACTTCAGCTTGTTTTCAAGGAGGGGCAGCCATAAATGAAAGGTTTCTTGTTTTGTTTTGTTTTTCAAAAGAGCAGCTAGCAGCTTTAGAAGAGTTTTGTAGTCTGTCTCCTAATCCTGAACGCTCCCTGAGCAAGGAGGGGATGGCAAAGCCAGTGCTGTGAGGGACAGAATTTGCAGTCGAGTTACCTTTGCTAGCTGCTGAGAGGGAGGACCTGCCCCTCCTCTTGTCAGGATGCTTCTGCAATCCAACAAAGTACCTGCAGTTCCCTGTACGGAGCCTGACTGGAAAATCCCTAGACCAAACTGCAATGTGTGTGTTCACGTCATGCTCCAGCCCGGCCGGCTGGCACGTTTCATCAGCAGTGTTGGCTGATTGCATCTTCAGGATGCCGCTTCCTGTGCGGATGTCCATCTAGCTCACTGTCGTTATTTCCTGTTTGTGGCTGGCCAGGAACATCGTTACTAGTTTGTATTATTCAGTGCCTCAGTGTCCTGTGGTGTCCAGCAGTGCCTTGGTGACAGCTGCAGTCCGTCTTCTGTCGCGCAGGAACGCCGTCCTGCTCTTACCTCTGCAGCTGGCTGGCGCAAGGTCAGCTTGGGACAATGACTGGCGTGCGCTCTTGGCCTTGAAATACACCTACTGCCTTATGCTGGAAGTATTTGAAAGTTTGAACCTACCGTTGTTCTTCATCTTTCACCTCTCATGAGGAATCGTACCAGTGAAATACATTCCGTATTTCTGTAGCTTGTACTTCTTTATTGATCTTTTTCTAAACATTTCTAAACGAGACAGCTGACCTTGGTAAGTGAACCAAGTGCCTCTGTCATCTTAAAGCAATGTACTTGCAAGTGAGCAAATTAGGCTACTCTGAAACTCCCCAGGTTGTTTTTTTAACAAGATAAATGGTGCCACATTAGCAATGCATAATTTATTTTTTTTACAGCTGTACGGGATAAAAATCTAGGATAGTTACTCAACAGCACTTCAAAATTTAAACTGCTGTCGAATTCATTGCCTCTACCCAAAAAAGAGATTTTTTTTTTTCTAAATTATTTTATTTATGCTGCCTAAAAAAATCCTTACTCAAGATGATGTTCTCATTTTAACAACAGAAGAGTATCGCTCCAGCTGGGGGCCCACCGTGTGTTTCGTTAGTTTTAATTTAACTCTGCTCGCAGTGCGCTCATTCCTGTGGAGCCCGTCGGCTTTCTGAGGAGACCGGCCCTGGTGAGGGTGATGATCCAGTAGAAGCTTTTCTTGCTGGACAGCAAATCCGAGTTTCCTTCTACCTCAGCGACTGCTCGCTGCGGTTCCAAGACACTGAAAGGCCGCTCTGTCCCGTGGTGTGTGCTGAGAGGGAAAGACCTGCTCTGGCCAAAAGATTCTGTTTGTGCCGCTACCAGCACGCAGAGCGAGGCTCGGGTTTCGTGAATACGTCTGAGATGAGTGTGTGCTTAGAGGGGATGGAATGAAGATGCCGCTTTAACCTTCTGTTCACACGGTGGCAATGTCGTGGGAAAATAAGGATTAGGGAAAAATGCAGTAGTGTGTAGAACTTGAAAAAGACACAAAGTAATATATGTCATGATATGGAAGAGACTTACTCAGGTGTATCACTTGTGTATGAAGTGATGAACTTGTGGGGTTTTTTTTGTTGTTTTTTTCTGTTTTAATCCAAGGTTGGATTGGTTGTAATACCCGATAGCACAGCTGGATCTGTTCTATGTGCCATAAATAAGCTCTTGGATCAAGCCTGTATCCTAAGTGAAAACCTGCACAAGTTCCTAGCCTCTTGCTGTTACAGTCTTCTGTACTTTCTGCTGACTTTAGACAAGGAGGATGCAGAACACATACAGAAAAGGTAATGCTGCTTTTCTTACCATGTTCATTGCCTCTGCCTTTACACCCACAAGTAATTACAGGTGTAAAAAGAAAGGATACTGCCCCACATCCCCCCAGTTTATTTTGCAGTCTTTCACTTCAATACTTGGATTTAAGAAAACCAGCTGCAAAGTTAGCTGGAGTCATTTAAAACAATAACTGAAGAAGGTTTCACCTCAAAGCTTTTACTTAGTTGTTCTAGTTCAATGTCAGAACCATCCTGAGTTTAGAAGGGTGGATATTTATACCTCAATCTTTAGCTTTAGCCTTTAGTTTCATTAGATACATTGAAAAGTAACATGCAAAGGATTTGGCTTTATAACCTTGTACTCCTAACTGACTTGGTATTTCAGCTTTAACGAACTTCTCAGGCATCATTTTATAGACTGCAAATCCATTTGATTTAAAATAAACAGAAGCTACAGATACCAGATTTAAATAAGTTTATTTACCTGTGTAACAGAGATGTCTTTAAACGGTTTACACTTCAGATTTTTCCTCTGCCTGTTCCATATAAGGGGAAGTTGTTCAAAGCTTACTTAAAATTGGATACATGTTTTTAGAGCTGGAGTCCTCCTTCACATGGTATTTAATGACTTGCATATTGCAAAAAGCCAATTCCATTGTTTGATTTCTTATGAGTCTTAAATAAAGATTGATGTGTACCTGAACTATGACTGAACTAAAAACCTCTTTTGAGCTGCATTGAGCGGAAATTACACTCTGTAAGTGCTTCAGCAACATCTGTAGCTCCAGGGCAAGACATTAAATTATTTCCAGTGCTGTATATAATTTTAGAGTATTTTCAAGTTTAGCATCTTCTGACACAGATTTTCTGCTTCGCCGCTAACGATGGTGAAGGCAGTTGGCATGTTTACATTGAGAGGCACGTTTCCTCGTACAGCTGTGAGGCTGTCACAGAAGCACTCTTGAAATACGTGCCCTTGATCATTTCAGTCTGTGTTCTCCCTTCCTCTCAGAGATATGCTGTGGGGATCATGCATTTCTGCATTAGCACTCCTGCCACGACTACTGAGACTGATGCTGCAGAGTCTGCAAGTGAGCAGGATCTGTCGGGAAGAGCTGCCCGTCGTTGCTCAGTTGCTTCGCTTACTCATGCAGCACGGTCAGCTCAGGAGCCATATGATCACCAACGAATTTCTGGTGCAACAGATTATCAAGGACATCATGGTATGAAACTTCTTTTTGTTTCCCAGAGACTACAAGGATACACTTTATGTTTAAAAATCGTTGCAAACCCTGAAGAAGAGATGTTTAGCAAAACACAAGTCATGATTGGCTTTTATTTGTCTTGGAAGTGCAGGCTGTGTAGCGCTGTGTCCGAGCTCCTGCGGGCATTGCACAGATGAGACAGCTCTGAAGGTTAGCTTGCGCCCAGGCCAGGGGTCCTGGGCAACAGTTGGCTTCCTAACAACATGCCCTGGAAGCGGGTTGCTAACAGGCAGTCAGGCTGAGGGACAGCTGTCCCAAGATAAGGAACTAGTTCTTCTGTTTATTGGAGCGGGGGTATACAGGTGTACGAAGATGTTATTAGATCGGACAAACCCTCTTAAATATGCACAGTGCAAAATACACTCTCTTTCAAATAGCGCCAAACCCAGCACTTCTGTTCCCATACCTACGTTCCAGTGCTTTTGAGACTACTACAGCTGCTGATCTCTTCAGGAAAAAAGCCTGAGAGCGCCTTCGCACAAGGCTCTCACTGGTTTTGAGCGCAGAAAGCTTGTGCGGTGCACAGGTTTGGAGAAGTGAGCCACACGTGCCCATTAGTAGCTTGTGACGGGTCTGTTGCCAGAAACGTAAGGTCAGGGGTGACAAAAGCAGGCATAGAGGCGTTGTGCCAGTGCTCTAACGGGGAATGGAGGGGTTGGTTTCCTTTGGTGTCGAGAATGCCTCAGCCCGGTTTTGTGATGTGCCACTGGGGAAGGGGAGGGGGGATGGGTGATACTGGTTATGGTTTTTACTACTGGTGACTGCCAGGGAGAGTGAATGACTGACCCGTGGGCTGTGTTGGTCTGTTGGTAGCAGTTCTCCTGTCGACTGGGGTGTTGAGCGCTCCTGCTTTAGCAGAACCATGCTCATTTGCATTTTAATTGACTATAAACTGCAGAATTGGAAAGTGAGCAAGCCACTATAATTAAGAGTAAGGAAACCACATCTGGTGTAATTCACACACTTTGTAATGTAACACCACCTTGGTGTACCAAGCAGTAAGGCTTTGTTGATGTACCATGTGGAAATGTGTCAGTGAGAAGAATTAAGGTCACGGGGCGCAGGTGAACAAGGCCGTCTTGTACCTACAGCAGCGACCCGGTTAACTGTAAAAACAAAGCAAAGCTTTACAAGTGCTGCTGGTGAAATTGAGTTTTACCTTTTTCTCCCCCCTTCTTCCTAGACACTGAAGAGTGGTGAAGTTCAAGAGCAGTGGCTAACAGACCTCCATTACTGTTTCAACATCTACCTTGCCTCTCACCCCCAGGGACCTGGCCCTATGAACGCAGTGTATTAAAGAGGTCGAACTGCATTTATTGTAAAGCATTTACTTCTATTTAGTTTTGAATGGAAGATGTTGGAACAAAGCTCATCAATTTTTTTGTAAGTGAAACAGAATAAAAATTTTACAAAGAACTGCACACCTCTATTGCCTTTCTTTTCGAGCAAGTGAACGTTACTGGGAAGTTGTGTTAGGAGATGTGGTGACCACACTGAAGGACGGTACAGAAGAATCCGGGCTCCTTGAAGCTTAAGTGCTTGCAGAGAAACAGACTTATACCGACTCCAGTCACCTATTATTTCAAAGCATTGTATTGATTAAAAGAATTAGAATTATGTAATACCAACTAGAAGAAAAAACAGAAAACAGTATACTTTGAAGCAAGAGTAACATTTTTTTATTCTTGCTGAGTTTATATTTTTAAATACTTAGTGCAAGGTAAATACTGTACACTGGCAGCTCCAAAGCTATTTTAAGGACAAGTTTTCTTCTAGAATAGGTCCCATCTTTTCTTGCTTTATGTAGAAACTTTTTGTGATGTACAAAAATAGTTATTAACATGGAAAGCATTTGTGATAATCTCAAAGGGTCGAAAACACACCCCTAACAATTTCCATAGGCCGTGGAAAGCAATTTATTTACTGAGTGTTTTTTGTCAACATTTCTACTTTTCCTTCCGCTTCCATAGCTGGCTAAGAAACAACTTGCTGCTTTAGCGCAGAAGTGGAGCTTGAAGGCTGTGCTTCTGTTCCTGTTTAGATTTTGAAATACATTTAATAAATTTGAGGTGAAATCGAACAGCAGTCTTTCAGAACTGTTACATCTTTCGTACAGTTTCCCTCCCCTTTGAAAATGGCATTTGATGAACACATTCAAAATTCCTACTTTTGGCAATGGAAAACGTTGGGAGCCCCTGCAACTCCATTGTAATGCTGGGCTTTGTGCTGCATTTTCTGTTTGGAAATGCAAATCAGATTTCATCTTTCAGTAAATAAATTAAGTTGTGTTTAAAAACTACTTTGTACACAAAATGGGTCCAACTCCTTAAAAGTCTGCTCGGCATGTAAAGCTGAGATAACAGAAAATTGAAAATGTGTTCAAGTTTAATACATTGTAGATGACTTGTGCGTTAGGAAAGGTAACAGTTGTACCAGAATTTGTTTTCTAAATTCCAAACGTTCAGTTTTGCTTAGTGCTTGAGTCTTGTACTTTTGGATTTTGCAGCAGTGGTTGGTGTCATGTTGTAGGAAAACTGCTTTGATTTTCCCATGTTCTCCAGCAAATTAACACACTGTAGGTTGTTTACTGCAAAAGAACAAAATGGTTTTGATGAGTAGCTCTGGTGGATAAAAAGGAGTCTACACCACGCCCTAGATTTCATAAACGATGAATATCCCCTGAAGAGAACACGCCTTTTTCCTGACAGCTCAGTGCTGACTAGCTGTCAGTAAGAGTTCGGTCTCGGTGGCAGCCAGCACCGCTTGTACAGAATGCTGCTGCCCGTGTTTAACGCAGCCTGCGATAACGGAGCTTAACTGGAGATTTACTTTGTAAACAAACAGGTTTCCCAGCTGATGGTTCAGTTGCTAACACCATGCTCTTGGCGGAGTCTGCTGAAGAGCAGCGAGAGATTTTGCTGGGCAATATTTAGCAGCGTGAGGTACTGGGGCCTTTCTAGAAGGTGGGGGGAGCTAGTCCAGGGGGAAAATGAGTACTCTGAACTATTAGAAAGCAAAAATTAATGTCAGCTGACCATTCTCTAAATTTTGAGTCTGGCTGAATCTCTGGACTTACTCAATGTTGTTACTGTTGTGTGTTTTCCTCTCCCAGTTCTGCAGAGATGGGATGCAAGCACTCCCGTGCTTCATCCCACTCTAGCCAGGGTCATCCCGAGTGCGCAGCTGAATGTTGCACCGCGGGGCAGAACCCAGCGCACCGCGGGGCGGGCTGTCTGTCTCATGCCAGAACCGCAAACCTCCTCCTTTGCACCTCTGTACGCACACATCAGTGTCCACAGCGAGACAAAGAAATGGGCACGTCGGTCTGGCCTGCTGCAGAGAGCTCGTAAGCGCCATGTACTGAATTGAGAAAAGGCGCCTGTTTAATAAAAAAATACGTTGAAAAAGGATCGACTTTCAGGTCCCAAAGTGTTTTAAGTGTAACAAGCATAGAGGCCCTATTTGCCAGAGCGTTTCGAAGTGCCTGCCCGCTGTCTGTATGTCCCATGGCCTGTTCATTCTCTGCCTGTCGCCCTCTGTCCCCGACTTGTGCGTTCCCACTCAGCCGTCTGCCTGTCCCCGCTGCAAAGCCTTCGGACTGCTCCTGCCAGCAAGCCAGCCGAGCTTGGTGTCCTTCCCCGTTACACATTTGTCACTGCAGGCTTTTTCCGCTGCCCCGTGCACGTTAAAACTAGGGCTGGCGGTCAGCCTTCGCCTCCCCAGCTGTGCCGCGAACCGCACGGCCGGGCCTGCGCCACGCCGGGCACCGGCGCAGGGAGGGGCGCGGAAATTCGCCACTGACAGCTCTGAACTTTCCCACCAGCCGTAATGTCGTCACGCGCGAAGGCAGGCAGACGAGAAACACGTTAGTGTCTTTAAGTACGGGCTAAAGGTCCCCGAGCTCCTAGCAGGTGACTGAAAGTAGGCAGTGTTCTGGGGGAACTGGGCAGAGTTCCTATCGCTGGCCCACTCGTCACCAAGTTATGAAAGCAAAGGACACTCCAAACCTCCAAAGAAAGCCTTTGTATTTCAGCAGACAGGGAGAGCTGTTGTCCTGGGAAGCTAAACGAAAAGAAGCATTATTTGCTAAAGTTCTTTTACAATTTAGATTCCTATCTGCGTGAAGAGGTGGCAATCAAACACCTGTCTGGTCACACCGCTTAATTAAAACAGTTTTCAAACAGCGGATGAAAGGCGCCTCTGTCTCTTCGACAGGCAGAAACTCACCTACAGTTCTAACAAACCCAAGGATGGGGCTGCTGTTGGATTTCCTTCTGACTTCAGAGTTTTGTTAAATGGGTCAGAAAATGCATTTACTGCCCTTTGCGAACTACCGGAGCCACTGTCTCCTCGAAGCGTTTGCTGTGTTGCTGCCTGGCTGGGGCCTGCCCATGCACCATGGGCGCTGCAGCCGCGGACACCAGCCGGCCAGCCAGGCACTACATCGTCACGCGGTGAAGCGCTAGGATTATTTTAGCTCCCATCCCCGAGCAAGTGCATAATACTCTCAGAAAAGTCTTAAAAAACGGCACTTAGTAAAGAAGTGTTAAGAGAGATGATCACGTACGCTTAACTTAATTTCTAAGCTGCAGCTGTCAATCAATGCCACAAGCATGAAAAGGTCCAGCCTTTAATGACCTTGATAACACCTCTACAAGCTCGTTTTACGCTGCTGTTTTACGTGGTGTAGCTCCATCTGGCTGCCTGCAGGGTCTGCCAGTCCTCCTCGTGCCAACCCTACCGCCCCAACAGCAGTTGCACACGTAAAATTTCAGTTACAAACAGAACTAAGGCTTTCCCGAGGAAGACCTGGTAATGACTGCGTGGCTTCTGAGTTAAGCAGAAAATAAGCGCATGGTTTTGTCAGAGCCTTAAAACTTCTGCAAGTAGAATTTGATGAAGGAATTGAGGCTCTGTGCCCAGCGCAGGAACCCCATTTCGCCGTTTTAAAAGCAAGGGCAGGGATCAGATGAGCAGCTTCGGATGTTGACGTTTCCGTCTATGCGCTAAACCATGCATTTCTGACAGGTGCGCAAACTCTTGCCACACGTAGCAATGCACTTTCATATTAAGGGCTTTCCTAGTAACAGCCCAATGAAAACTGGTTTTCATATAAATGATTCAACATCAGGATGAAAGTGCAGTGCTCAAAGAAGTCCAAGAGTAGTGAAAGAAACAACAGCTTGGTAGTAGTTATGTGTTTTCATACGAGATCCCATTTCCTGAGCAGATTTTTTTTTTTTCTTTTCCAAGATGAAACCATCTTGGAAATGAAATTAATGAAATTTTTATTTTGAATTGAAATAATTAATGAAAATTAAATTACCATTGAAACCAGGTATCTAAACGCTGTTCTTAAAATGTACGTGTCCTACCTGAGACCAGCTGCACATCAGAAAGTTTCAGCTTAGAAGGAGGTCTTGCTGGCTGATACACTTTGCCTTCCTGAGAACGTCCTTTAACAAACAATATGAACAGCTCTGTGTTTATTCGCATAAAGATGTGGTTATGCATAGCTGTAAACTCCTAAAGCAGGCTACAGGATTATTTTATCCTAAAAATTACTCTAATTTATGATGAGGAAACTCATGAGACATTCTATATGACAGAAAATTGTGACAACCACAACTGAACTTTAACTAAAGTTAAAATACGTCTTGCAGTTGCTATAAAAAAGAAGGAAAATAAAATTATTAGCTTTATTTTTTGTAATCCTTTTTGGCTATCTACACTACAGAGCCATGAGAAAAGTGACTTACCACCTGGTAAAGTATATATAGTTAGCACATCCTTACTCCACCAATAATCCAGAGTGTAAAGGAACTCAAGGTTTGAAAGCAATGCTTTTCTTCTACCCTTTCTTCAGGACGCATTCCTTTGCACCATGCAGAGTGCAAAGCAGTGCAGCCTGATCATAAAAGATGATCTTGCTCTTCCAATAAAGACCGGCTGTCTCCAAACAAGAAAGTTATTAACGTGGAACAAGACTATATTCTTCAAATGGAAATATTTTAAAAATAATACAAACCCCAAAAACTTTAAAACAATGCTTAAAAACATTAAACTGTGCTCTGGCTAGCCACTGTGCGTTGACAGAGCCAGCCACCCCCAGTTTAACTGCACTCTTCTCTTTCCGCACTGACACATGTGAGCAGCTCTGGCAACAGCACTATTTGGCTGACCAAGTGGTGATTCCAGCAGCTTCAGCAGCAGCCATTTTAAATCACAGAGGTTTGGGATTTTCTTCAGCCTGAGACAGAAATACAGTTACCCAGGACACCTCAGATTCAGAGTCATTTTTATAAATAGCTGAAATCCCTAACAAACAGGTAAGAAGTGTGTAGAAGAATACACTCTGTTACAAAAATAAAAGCGTAGCTATTTAAGGTACAGTGAAGACAAAATTACCATAGATCTGCTT